AACAAACTGGAAAAAATAGACCCTAAGATATTCGAGAAGTTACCAGGACTGGAGAGGCTATATCTGCAGGTACTGAACTATTTTTGTAGATCATCCGATTCCTAGTCAAGGAAATCCATTTCAGAACAATAAACTTCAAGAATACCCCATACATGCTCAGCAGCGGAATGCAGAACCTTCGGCAACTGAATCTGGACAACAATCTAATTGAAGAGCTACCAGATCACCTTCTTTATTCCACCCAACGCCTAGAACACTTATCTTTAGCCGGGAATCGAATACATTCCATAGGCGACAACATCTTTCATTCAAGCAGCTCCAAAGGACTGAAATCTCTGAACCTCGCTGGGAACAGGATCTCGAGCATTTCCAAAAGGGCATTTCAACTTATGGAGAACCTTCAAGTTCTTCGACTCAACAACAACCGACTTCGCACAATTGACACCTTCGGTGAGATATTTTCGTGTTGAAATACCGAGGTAACGAAAGATGGAAGGTGCTGGAAGAGTAGAGTGTAAACCTATTATTGCGATGATTACGACAGCGACATGTTAGGCATGATCCAGGCTAGATTCCTGGCTAGGAGTACAGTCACTTTCACTGCAAATGCTGGGGTAGAGGCGGTGCGCGATCCCAGCAGCACTCGACGCCCTCGAAAATTTTACGCATTCGAGTATGAAAAGCGACAAATTAAACATGTACGTTTTACAAGCTTTTTGTGTTCGACAAGCTATACAAGGAACATTATCAGGTAGATGAAGAATATTTCGCGGGGCTGAGACGTTTCTGTCAATCTGCCACTCTGAGAGGGGGAGAGCAAATGGCAGTCGAGAGTAATCATCACAGTTGGATTCCTTACAAGTAAATTGCAGAAAGTTTCACAATCCGCATATAATTTCGGACCCAATTCCTGGGAAGGGTACAATAAAGGCTGATGAGACAGGGGCCTCTTCAAGAGAGGAGGAAATCAAAGAGGTCCACCCTTAAGGGAACTAGTTCTGATTTGTTTTCAGTTTGGTCTTCATAAGACATGATAATCTAATTGCACAAAATAGCACCAGGGAAGCTATATAGTAAAAGGCTGATGAAAAAGCGATGTTAAACAGCCAAAAACCTGCGAAGAAACCTTTGATCTGCATGGCACTGGACGAGAGTTTTAAGACGAGTTTTCCCGTTGCTATCCTGTCAACAACCGACTTGATAGATACTATACGTATGTACGAGGGCGGTTGCGATGAGCATGTAGGTCGGTGTATTTCACCACGGATAGGCGCTATAACGCTGCCTTTGGCTGGAGAAGGCGCCATGCAGCGCCTACCAAGGGGTACAACATTCTTTTGTGCCCCTTGGTAGGCGCCGTACTTGTCGCTTTATCATGCCACTTGCCCTCAAGCACCGCCAAGGAGGGAGACGAGAGTCGTAACTGGGCACACTAGGAGGGTGGCCAGTTACGACTCTCGTCTCCCTTGGCGGTGACATTTTCGGCGCAACTGAAATCCAAGGAAGTAGTAAAGGAAGGAAATATGTACGCATACTTTCAACAACTACTTTCAGGTATTTGCTGAGCTCAAGAACTTGCGCTACGTCGACCTATCCAACAACAACATCGTGCATATCCTGCCACAAGCTTTCACGAGTCTTCCTCTAATTGACACGTTGCTTTTGCATCACAATGAAATCGAACGAATCGACAAATCAGCCTTCCACCGTGTTGCCAGGATTGAGACATTAGATCTGAGTCACAACTTTCTCAAGAACTTCACATGTGAACAACTTGGTTCTGTCCAGACGATATTCAATCTCAATCTCGCTCATAATCGGATCTCACAGTAAGGAAGAACTACCACATAAAACACCCCTTTAGTGCTTCATTCACAGAACTTTTTTACAGAACGGAACTCACATGCATTTTGCGAAGTCTCGTCACTTGGACCTAGGCTATAATGTTCTCGAAACGTTCAAGAAGAATACAATGGATGGAGCTGACAAAATGCTCGAAATAATCCTCAGAGGCAATGGCATACTTGAGCTGCAAAGTCACGCTTTCGCCTGCTGCCCAAAACTCTCGACTGTGGACCTGTCGCACAATCACCTACGCACAATCCACAAGGACACGTTCTCTGACCAGGTGAGAAAAAAAACTTTCTCGAGGACATAAATCAGCAACAGGTGGTATGGGGGAAAGAAAAGCGGATGGGATGTGGCCTGAAATAAGGTCCGAGCTTGACTGTTGTCTGCACTACGAGCCAGCTCACAGATCGAGTCCAGTAATCGCTGTAAACACTGTTTCTCCCACTTGCGAAGTGCACTAAATCCAACCCCTGACCACACTCATCTCTGAGGAAAACCACATTTGCATAGAAAAAGAAACTTAGCAAACTGTCTCTTAACAGGGCTGTCATTCTTGCACTCGAACGTAGCTTATGTGTCTAAGAGTGCTAGTGTGAACAGTTTCGAAGAAAACTTCCGGAGACAGTGTCCGGGCTCAACCAATTCGAACGGCGCCCCACCTTGTTGAAGATGTCTTTGCTACATTCTCGCAACTGTCCCCTTTGTGGCTCCACAGTAAGTAATGAAGGTAGTGCGGCCTTCGCAAGTTCTGACGCCTTTTTCAGTTGTCCCGCCCACCAAAACTCAAAGCTTATTTTCTGCCACGTGTTCTGTTTTTACACCGCGATTTCCGTTTTTCCCCCCGGTTAGGTGGTAGTAGCTGAATGACCAAAGAAATGAAAGATTGGAGAATAAAGAGCTAAAAACGACAGCGCATGCAG